ATATTACGCATATTACAATTTACGAAGCATTTTAAATTCCCATGAGCAAACAAACGTTCACTTTACAAAGATATTTTAATTTTTTAAAACAAATTAATCACCCTGTCAAAATCCTTTGTGTTACGGCATTGAAATTCGAACAATACGTTATTTCAATGATTTTGGTTTTTTTTGAGACACCCTGTATATGTTTGTTTAGTCAAAATATTCTGTTTAATTTTATGCAAAATAAGCATGCAGAGTCTGGATTTATATTCATCAGGTTAGCCCTATTTTCCATCCAACAAACCGCCTTATCGATTTTCTAAAGTCGTTTCTTTTTGGATTTTTTTTATTAATTTGGCTAGGGTTAGAGTTAGGGTTGCAGTTGGGGGTTAGAGTAGGGGTAGGGTTTGCGTTAGTTACATAGCCATTTAACACCTCTTCCATCTTCCGAAAATGACGTTAGGTCAGTTTGCCGGATGGAAAATAGTGCTAACCTATTCATCAGGGTTGGATCCAGGGCCGCCGAGAGAATTTGTGCTGCCCGAACCCAACTATAGACCTTAGCTAGACTGCATGTACTGCAAGGGGCCCTCAATTTCAAAAATGCTCCGACCAATTTAAAGAACTTGGGCTCTATTAAAGGTGATCTACAGTCCGATCTGCGCATGTGCACAAATGAGCCCACTTTTTATGATACAAACAGTTTAACTATGTTTTGAGTTCTTGAAAAGCCTGATTGTTGTTTCTTGATCATTTATTATACTCTAGAAGCTTGAAAATATAAATAGTTGTCAAATAAAGCTCAATATTTTGGACACAAAAATGTAAACAAAGGCTTTGTTTACATACGGACTGTAGATCACCTTTAAGGTGGGGGCCCAAGGCAATTTGCACCCCCCTGGCCCCCCTCTCGGCGACCCTGGTTGGACCTGCAAATTATTGTTGATACCATTTAATATAGGCACCCAGTCTATTGACTCTGAACACTTAGATCTAACTTTAAGGTTCCTCCAAAAGGAAACCTATAGGTTTTTGTAAGCAATTGGAACATTGTCTGTAGACCACTTATAGGGATGCCTATAAGCCTTTAAATAGTATAAATTCAGTATTGAAAAATGGCTTTCAAGTGTAAATCTGATTGGCTCCCTCAGCAGTAATTCCGAGGCAATAGTTACTGCTCTGAGCAGTAACTATTGCTTTCAAAACAAAATGGCTGCTGAAAATAGACTTGCAAACATATCATCGAAGAAAAAATTGGAGAAATTAATTAAAGCACATACTATTTCTCTAAAAGCAAAAGAAGCAACAATACAGTACTCAACAATTATTCGCCGAAGGCGAGGTGATTATCGGTGAATAAAAATCGAGACGAAGTTATTTTAGTACTTTTTAGTTTGAAGGGTGTATTGGTAGCTTTCACTGTTTGATTAAAAGTTGAAGTATACAGTGATTACAATACCTGTGCAATTGTTTTTGCCATCTCCTGTGTACCCATCTGTACACTGACACACATAAGATCCATTATTGTACATACATTTTGCGTTACTATGACATACTTGAGGTTTTTTCACACATTCATTTACTTCTAAAAAATTTGAATATATTTAAATTAATTTGTTTCGTTTTGCATTTCCGAAGCGTTGGGGAATTTGAATTAAAGTTGAGATTTCTTGCAATTAAAAATTATGCATCCCCTTGTTTTGAAACAACGATTGCTTTGTATTCGATCATAAATATGAAATCAGTTTTGTTCCTATTGATCGACATATACACACAGTATGAATATTAAACAAAAACTGTTGTAATTGCAAGCTTGTACAAAAGTGGACTAAAGTATGAAAAGAAATGGAATCCCCCTGTGCCCCCCCCCCCCCGCTTCCGACGGCCCTGCAGTACTTACTTCCATCCATTCTAGTACAGTTTACTCCATTGCCAGAATATCCACCCGGACACGGCCCACAACTGAATGAGGCAATCAAATCTGCACAAGGGACTCCAAGAAAACACGGATTAGGTGCACATTCGTTGATCTTAAATAGAATGGAAATGTTTTGAGGATTGATTATCTTGCTTGCTTGCTTTTTGAATGCGCACACAAAAACATCCGGATAAAAGAAAAATACCGCTCTATTTATTTAAAATTAAAATTGTTTGTCAAAAAACATGGTACCAGTTGTGAGGGTTTATTGAAAATTAGTTCAAATGATTACCTCTGTTTGGCAAAGATCACCAGTATATCCAACATAACAAGAGCAAGAGAATCCTGGTTGTTCATTATTACAATTCCCATTAGAACAAGGTTTAGACACTGCACACTCATTGACATCAAGCTCACACAGGGTACCCGTATATCCTGCAGGACATGAACACGTGAAGTTTCCTGCTCCATCAAGATAGCGATAATCAGGATGGCATTCTCCTGAATTTTGACATGGACATTCTTTTATAACAACCGAAGCGTGTAAAACAGAGTACGCTCCACATTCGTCTGTCACATTAAATATAACTATTGTTGAATCATTGGTGTTTTTAGTGCAAGTGAATAATCCTCTTTCTGTCAACGAAGCACCAAGTGTACTATCGAAGGTATAGCGTATTGTTCTATTCTCCGGGTCTATCGCGGTAAGTTGAACGCGAAGTTCTTCACCAAGGAAGGCGTGGAAAATAGTTGAAGTAGTAAACTTTGGCCTCTGATTGTCTGAAAAATGTTATTGTAGAAGCACATATTAAGATCTTGTTTATTTGGTTTTATTTGAATAATCAGTATAAAGTGTGGATTGAAGAGATAGCTAAAGCGTGTCGCCATTTTGAGCGTATCATATATATTACCTTTTCGCTTCTCCCAGGAGTTTGTTGATATCTGTGGCAGGCATTGTTGACACCAGTCGTTGGGATGGGTTTGATTTTGGGCAAAGCAATGAGCAGAAATGAAACAGGCATCAGTCTATGTTAATTTGGTAAAATATGATTAATTGAAAGTAATTGCAATATTCAGTACTTTGGGTTTAACCTTAAGGTTTAGTTAAGTATTCTGTGAAGCGAAATTTAGAAGGAAACGGTCCCCTGATCGTTTTCACAACACTCTGCTAAGTTTACCTTCAGTCGACATCCCTTAATGGTATTATTACATTCTTGACACACTGAGTCATAGGTAATAAACACCGCGGACACTTTGGAGGCGTTTATACGATTATTGGATACTGCAATCTTTAGTCCAGCAGCTGTTATCCCTTCGTTGCCATAGTCATCGATGTTAACAGGCGATTCAGGGAGTAAACATTTCACTTCATTGATGTCCATCATCAACCCAGGGTACGACGCGATGGAATTATCGGGGGTCCACGCTGATTCAATAACCTTTAAGAAATTACAGTTACGCAGTATATCAGTATCTCCCAGTGCCGCAGGCTCGAATTTTCCAGCGGATTTTGCGATGAAAATTGAACATTTTGCACAGAACTGGACATTTTGTGTGAAATATTCGCGCTGACAATACGAGCCCCGTGAGTGGCAGAAATTTCGCTAAATTTGATGAACGTGTATAAATCTTGCATAAAAATGAGCTTTCTTGCGTTCTGTTTCGCTACTCTAACATTTGAGTATTTGACGTTCAGTGTACTGCCTCGTCCTCGCGAGAGTGGATGTTGTAGTTTTGCGAGTTGTCAACACGAGGCATGACTTGTCTTTATGATTTTATCATTCGTGATATGTTACAAGGTTTATGAATTATTAACGAGTATTTTAATTCAATTTTGACTATTTTGATCAGTCAAATGGGTAAAATAAGATTGTGATTTCATCCCGCATAAAAGTCAGAAACTTTCACATTCTAAAGCTATAGCGTTGTAGTGCCACGAATAAGTGTGGGGCGGGGGGACTTAATCGTGAAAGAAGTTGAATATCCTACCTTGAATTCTTGGACATGGCATGTAAGATTTTCAGAATCCAGCAATGGGAAAGCATATATACCAACATTGCGACATGGCCTTCTTCTTACATCACATAATCCTGATTTACGTATGCCATATAGGATAGGACTATCTTTTAATGATATTGAGCAGTCGGCGCTTGTGTAGTCTTCAAAACAAGTGCAAGTGGAGTTTGAACAATTTCCGCGGTCTGAGCAATCATTTGGACATAATGAATCAAGAACGGTTGTTTCAAGACTTAACTTGCCATCTGTATTGTTCTTGTAGTAGGTTATGTTCTTGTACACATTCTTCTTACAAATTTCGTTCATGGCTCCAAAATTGGCTACAGCCCACGATGGATCATCAGTTAACTGTGTAGGTAGAGTGTGTGTGTTTTTTTTCAACAATTTTTAAACTGACAACTATTTTAAAAATCCAATAAACGATTTAGTATACTGTAGGCTCTTTTCCAAATAGTTCTCTGGGGTTTAACAAAGTCGCGCAGAAAATATCGATTGCTATATTGACTTTCACGAATTGAAAATGATTATGGAACAAAAAGTACAAGTAAATAGTACAATACAATGGTGCAAAACAATTCAAATATGTTTCCCCCCTACTCGCTTGGGAAACAGATAACATAATATCGAATACTAAATAAAAATGTAGACATGAAAGAAAATTAAAACTTTCCATGTCGTCCGCAGGAAAATACTCCCTTATATAGACTTTACTCATTAGATTATTAGCCACTTAATATTGCTTTTTTATAATAATGGCGTGTTGATTTTAAATTCTATATATACGTATATATAAATTGCAATATTAGAACACGATATTATATGTAGTGGTAAAAAGAATGAATTTATCAAGCAATTTAACATTACATACTTCAGCGACGTGACATATGTCCTTACAAAATGCTAATGGAATATATATATTTAAAAAACTCATTAATAATTCAGGAGCAAAACACAAAGAAAAATCATAAGCGTGTCGTGGTTTTATATGTGATAAACTTTAGCTTTGATTTTCTCGGTTTAGACAAAGTTTATTTTAAAAATTACTTCGCCAATGAACTCGTATAAGATGAGTCGTTTTTTAAGCCATTTAAAGCACTTATATATTACAAAAATATATATATATATATATATATATATATATATATATATATATTTTTTATTTTATATATATATATATATAATTCCGATTATATCCCTCTTTATATTGCGAGGGAACAAAAAAAAATATGGAAACCGTGCTCTTGCACAACGATACCTTTTCAATACAAGCTTTAAAATTTGTCTAAAAGCTGTTTCACGTACTTTCTTTTGACTGACTCTCGTATTATGTTTATTTTATTTTTGTATTATATACCTTGATATCAGAGATGCATTGATTAACAAGAGCATCCAAATCGACACCAGCAACAGCACCACAACTTTCACCGCCCTTCGAATACCTTATTTTTCTATTGCATATCTTCGTGACGTTTTCTTCTGTCAGTCCACTGGGAGTTGGCCATGAAGGAGCGGTATAATTATGTATGGGTGGGTTGTATGGCGGAATAACGTCCTGATCATCAATATCATCATCTCGGGAATCTAATGCTCTTTTCCGACGCTTATTGATATCTCTTTTAGCAATTACGCGATTTCCACGACACAAATCTATTTGTAAAAATATCATACATACGTTATTTCTTCAGACATCAGAGCTAGGGCACCAAATTTAATTTATGATGATGATGATTTTATTGATTCATCTTTAGTTTAAAAATACAATGGATTTACAATAATGTCTATTAAAAGAGAAGAGCATAACTATAGGCATGCAATAATATTTACAAACTATCGGAAATTTTTATATACACAATTTGGAGTAAAAATTTAAAAGTCTAGGAAATTAGTAAAAAGTAAAGATCCGGTGTTATGCTACCCGAATTTTTTTTTAATTTTGGAACACTGAAATGGCATTTCCAGAGTTTTGGAGGCACTTGTAAAGTTATAGTACAATGTGCTAATCTTAAATCCATTTTTAACCATGTGAGAAATCCGCTAAAAACAAGGTTGTGCAAGTGGGATAAGCACGTCAAAGTTGTTAATTATATTAGTTGTTAGTTATTCATTTAGTTAGATTGCAATGATAAGTGTACAACTTTTACCCGCTTTCTGAAAAAAGGTATCAATTTCCCGTGCGTAATACAAAATGACTGAAAACTTCGCAGGGCTATATATTATCTGCATTTTACAACATTTCGCAACGAAACGTCGGAATATTACTAATTCTGTGATGCTCTTTCAAGCCGTGTCCCCACCCTCCAGGATTGACGCCCATGCGTGTTGTTATTGTGGTATAGTTATAGCACTGAAATTGACATATGATGCAAGGTGTTTATATAAGATTATATATAGTGCGTGTATTTTTGTTTCTTACCCTCAGCAATTCGACCATTCTGTTCTAGTGGAGAACATTTAGCGATTACCCCGTCCGTGTCACACTCCTGCTGTTTATTTTTACAAACGCATAGCTGTTCGTTCAGGCACGTGTCATACAGTTCTTGGTAAACTGTATCGTTTCCTTCATATGCGAATATATCTTCAGCAGAACCACTTTGAATTCTGAAAGAAATGAAAGAAAGTTTGTGACTTGTTGCACTTGACATCAAAATATTTAATTGTCCGATCAACGTCATTAATTTTTCTATTTAGCTTGACTTTATAAAGCCGTTATTTATTTTGAATAACTATTCGAGTTCGTTTTTTATGGGAAAATGTTGCTTGTAAAACTCCCAATTTTACCTGTGACGCTGGCAAAACTCCCAATACGACCGTCCTTCAAAGTCGTCATTCGGGTCACCATTAAAGTTACCGCATAGGCCTTCGCTATGCGTATCTGGACCCTTTTGATCATAATTCGGTTCTGGTGCACTTATTATAATGTCTAAAGAATCATCTCTAAGTCCACTTCGTCCAATTGTAACGGTTATTCCAGATGGCAAATGGACCTATTATACAAAATAATGTGTCTAAATATGATATATGCAGTATTTTATTTTATGTATGCTGAAGTGTATTCAAAAGCTTTACTAAGCATATTTTGAAAAAATTACGGACGTTCGCCGGGCCGAATTTTGTTTTTTGTATTGCTTTTTCTTTTACGTCATTAAAACAGAAAAATTACTGTCGAAAATTCAGCTTAGTCGTCGGATAGCCATATTCACCCTGATAACCGTGCTTCGTACAGCGCACTTTTGTCCAATGGATAACGCATTTATCCTTCGGATGAGACTTATCAACCAGATACTTTATACAGCTTTCGTAGAAACGGCCCTGGTTTCTATAAGCTGACTATATTTCTACTCTGATATAGTTGCCATTCATATTCTATATTATAACCTATACCCGGGTTCAACAGCAAACAGTGTATAGGCCTACCTATACGCGGCTGGATCAACTTACTATCATTTTCTTTCCCAACGCAAATTTTTCCCGCGGTTCTTCTGTATAAAACCCATTTTTTGCCATATCTGGAGTGTGTCTAGTTTTTGCTATTTTTATTGGATCTCCCGCCGCAATACTGGAACACAATTCCACAATTTTGAAATAATATCCTTCTCTAATAGCTACTCCACAGTTGCAACATGTATTGAGCCTTGTTTGTACCTGCAACAAAAAGAGTGGTTATAATTTTGGAAAAGTGTTCACATGAATGCATGAGTTCTAACTGACATATTGAGTAATTAAGAACATACCCAGAGTCAGGAGGGGTCCATAAATATGCCTCATGTTTGATAGAGCTCACAATTTGAAACATTTGGTGTTTATTTAAAGAAACGTACCATTAACGAAATCACATGCTAAAAAACTGATTAAATATTACAAATGTTTTTTATAAGTAAAACCTTAAACTCCATGGCAAAAGTTGTATATGTTTTCGGATGCGAACGTTTATACTGGATGTGAAACTTTCTATATGAATGAAATAAAATCTAAACTTCGCTTATAACGCGGACGTTACCGAATCCCGCGAAATATCCCCAAAACGATTTAAG